GAAAGAGCATCTTTTGTTCTGGAGAAGTATGGCCTTGTACAAAACCACCTGTTATTCTGCAGTAAATTACCTTAAAATAGAGACCTCTCCTGCCAGATGTTTGTCTTGGAGCTGCTTCCCAAACCCTGTGACAGAAATGAAAGGATGGGAAAGGTGAGGCACATGTGACAGAGCGGAGACTAATGCAGGTTCTGGACCAGTGTTGCCCCCCATCACTGGCAGCATGGCAGGTCCCCAGGACTAGGGGTACTGCCGGCCAGATCTCACTACCCTGTGCCAAGTCAGGACAGGTCACTACCATTTGGGAACACCCCCAAGCACATAAAACGTGACTCTTTCCTCTCCAACAGCCAGCAGCTGAGATGCAACCCGAGCACAGGCTGTGTCCTGGCCACCACCATAGAGCTGCTGCAGCGAGCAGACAGCAGGACCTTCAGCCTCCACAGATTTTAGCTTTTACCCCTTTTCAAATTCTTTGCACATTTCCCCTTTACATCCCATGGCATCAAATTCCATTTACTTTCATTTTAAAGCCACATCTTGATCAAATACTTTATCCTGCTTTTTTCCTGACCATGCACAGGTTTCTCTCTCCCCATGGGGCTCCTCAAGCCAAACAAAACTTTGCTTCTCCTGGAAGGAGAGCCATGCGTGTCTCCAGCTCCTCTGCAAGCTGCCTATTTCTTCTACAGACAGTTTTTCTGAAGTGTGATTTGAACAAGGGGCAGAGCACAGGTGCATGTTACATGCTGGCACCACCATATATTTTTCTGTTTCTTTCTATTTCTAACAAGTCCCAGTATTTGTTTTTGACCACTGCTGCCATGTCTACAAAGAGCACAAGATCTTTCACCTAAGTGATCAGGGTGTCCCTTTCAGCATGCAGAAGAGGGGCTGGGGTCTCCTTGGCAGTTATTTCCATGTGCTAAGTACCAGCTATTATTTTTTCCACTCGAGTCTGCAGTTGCTCACAGTCACCTGTAGGTGGGACAAGCCTCGGGAACGTGTTTTAACTCCCACGGAGACAAGAGCACACCGGGCACAGTAAAAATGCAGCAGAAACCTCCTGATGTCCATTGCTTTTGCCACGTCAGGTCCTTTTAACCCATTAGCATTCAGACGAGCCAGCGCTGCCGAGAAGGTTTGTGCTTCTCCCACTGCCGGGAGCAGCGAGCCGTGGGGGGCC